TACTGGTAAAGTAACCATGGCACATATTCATTGTGCAAACAGAATAAATGTAATATTTAAATCCCAAATAATGCTGCTAAAGATCTAAATGCCAAACTTCTTGAAAACATTCAGCATCGACTTCCTCACACAACCACTAGAGGTCACTTAACATTGGAAAGTAACTGTAGATCTTCCTAAAGTGTTTGCACTGAAGTCTTCTTGCTTACATTCCAAAGAAGTGAACAAAATTCCAACAGCATCATCATGAAAATGATAAAAGTTTGAGAAATTATAAATCTATATGAAGATTAGAAGTGTGAGTAATTTTACTATTTTTATTTTTTATGCTGTTTTCTTATGCTATACTGATACTTTGTGTATCTGTGGTCATATATGGGTGTGATTTGCACAGCAACCACTTCTGAGCTTTAGGTTCAAAGCAATCCACTTTCCATATATGCATGCAGAGTATGTTATGGCAGTTTATTAATAGGAACAAAACTGGCATCTAATAACAGAACTGTCATTTAGGTTTAACTGTTGCGTTTCAGTGTTTACCAAAAGAAATATTTTGTGATTCATTAGTATTTCAACCTCAGACTCCTCATTTCTGGCTCATTTGAAAAGAACATATAGAAAAAAATAAAGCATTTTTCATTACTTCTTATTGTAATGTATGTTATGAGCCTGGCCATCAGTCAAGAATGCACAAATTGAAGGATGCATGAAAGCATTCAACAGGCCACCAGTGTGCAGATTGTGTTGTTCTGCATGCTGCAGTCAGCTGTCCGAGGGCATGCTTATTCTGTGGTTTTCCTGTGAGCCTGCTGCTCACTAGATGGTCTACATTATGGTTATGATTTGTCAACTCTGTTATCTCGAACCCTTGAAATGCACCATTCATAGATTAAAGTTGAAGATGAAGTGGAAATTTAAAGTATAATCATTGCAAATACAAAAAGACAGCTAGAAGAGAAAAGAGTTATATCATGTCACATTCATCCTCAGACTCATACTCTGTTCTCTGGTTTAAGATATTTCTCGCTCTGCAGCTCTGTTAACAGAGACCACTGAAAGGGCATCTGTGTGTTAGGCTTACAGTGTAATTCTGTTCGATTCACAGTAATTTTTCTGAACTTATGGCTTACCAGCACAGTGCAAGGGACGACATGTGAAGTTGTACAGAATTTTTAAAACGATATCTTATAACAACTAAGAGTCAGTGTAATATTATGAAGTACAGATTTCTGCGTCAAAACAAATGGATTGAATTAGAATCTAAAGGGGCCGTGTGTGTTCGGCTGTTTAATGTAAAAAGAAAAACCATATCAAATTAACGGGCTTCTTTCAATGTGGAGAAATAGCGGCTCTACTCTGAGCCCCACCCCAATGGCCAAACTTCTCACGCTATCCCTTGTCTTGGGGCCAGGGCGACCATGGCTCAGGGGGTTGGGAATTGCATCTGTAACCGGAAGGTCACCGGTTCGATCCCTGGGCTCTCTGTCCTGGTCGTTGTGTCCCTGGGCAAGACACTTTACCCTACTTGCCTACTGGTGTTGGCCAGAGGGGCCGATGGCGCGATATGGCAGCCTCGCTTCTGTCAGTCTGCCCCAGGGCAGCTGTGGCTACAACCGTAGCTGCCTCCACCAGTGTATGAATGTGAGAGTGAATGAATAGTGGCATTGTAAAGCGCTTTGGGTGCCTTGAAAAGCGCTATATAAATCCAATCCATTATTATTATTATTGGTTGACATGCCTCTTCAGTGTCTCATGAAAATCAGGGACAGTACTGCTGAATTAGCAGACCAGGTGGTGGTTCCTGTCTTTAAGAAAGGGGACTGGAGTGTGTGCCCCAACTATGAGTGGATCACATTCATCAGCCCCAGGAAAGTCTATGCCAGGGTGTTGGAAAAGAGAGTCCCACAACTCTCTGCTAATCCAGGGTTGGGTAGCAGGGCATCCAACCCCGTGAAGAAAATATGGTGGAGACTGTTGTTTCACCCCTTCTGTCTTGAAGAATGTCCCCTTATCAGCAGTGTTGGGACTAACGCGTTATTAAGTAACGCGTTACAGTAACTACGTTATTATTGTGGTAACGAGCACGGTAACTAGTTATTATGCCAAAATCAGGAACGCGTTACTCGTTACTGGGATTTAGATAGGCTCGTTATTCGTTACTTCGTGTGGTGGCTATCGCGGAGCTTCCACAGATTCAATAACATTAGCAAGTGGTGGAGGCCAGCAGGTGGATGAAGGAAAAGGGAGGAGAGACCCGAAGCGGGAGCGTCATTGCACTGGATTCCAGCCATAGCCCGCTGCGTACCATAAGAACGCCGAAGGTCTCCTTTCGCGTTCCTCAGGAACGCCGCGGGACGTGACAAAACGTCGACATGTTACGCCTCGGGAGTGAGAACGGGCTGGTGGGTGCTATGTTACTGATGTTGAACTTTATTTTGTTCATAAGGTTAATTATTAGAGTTGCCAACCATCCCGTAAAAAATGGAATCGTCTCGTATTCAGAGAAAATATTACGGGTTTCGTATTGAGGTGAAAAGGAACACAGTTTGTCCCGGACTTCAGCTACAATGAAAAAGACACAAAGCTGGAGTTATTCTGTGTTTACGCTGCACAGCTGCCTCTTCTTCTCTCATCCTCTCACCCTCCCTCTCCTGTTTCTACTTCAATCATGAAACTGATCAATGATCAGCTGATCGGCTTTTCTCTCTTGTTTATTTATCGCCCACTTTGCGCCAGAAAGAGGAAACCAGCGGATGTCGCGGTAAACAACAGCAGCACTTTTAAGCTTGATCAGCTGTTGTTAGAATTCATTTAATATTAATTTCTAGTATCAGCTGATGTTGGCTGGAGCCACAGCTGTAAACCTGCTGGTCATGATATCGGTTTGGTTATGTGATGAGAGGGAAACATGAAGATGAAACCAGGAGATGTCCTTACTGAATCATCAGAGCTGTGATGGAGAAACAGGTTTACCTTTTAGGTTGATCTGATATCCTCGTGTTGGTGTTGTTCCCAGATCATCATACTAAATGTTGTTCCAGGATCAACATTGCAAGTGACCAATCAGAATGTTGTGACGTCATACTTTTGCGACTTCGGGAAAAACCGGCGTAAAACAAAAAACTGTACTAAAGCTACGTGAAACCACCTCTGTCCGCCGATCAACGGACCCTAACCCTAACCCTAACCGTAACCCTTTAATAAACAGTAAGCAGAATTGATATTGTCCTTGCAACATTGGAATTTCATAAATGCAGGAATGGCTTGGCGCGCAAAAGAATAACGTCACAACAATGTGATTGGTCACTTGCAATGTTGAACCTAGAACAACATTTTCATGATGGTCTGGGAACAACACCAACACGAGGATATCAGATCATCCTTACCTTTTAGGTGACATGAATGAGTTGAAGGGAAGTTATGAACTGTTTCTGAGAGACAAATAACACCAGGATCCTTTTCTAAGTAGCTGACAGCTGGTAACTATGCAGGGGCGGGTCTAGCAAAGTGTTGCCAGGGGTCCATGTAGGGCATTAAAAGGGAAAGGGGGGCACAAGGAAATACTTTCTTATTCTCATTTAAAATGTCTCACTTTTAAAGAAAATAACTATCTGAGTCTTACAACAAACGATTGATAGATTGATACATATTTACCATCAGAACAGTGTACATCACTGTGTGTTTATTTTTATTCAAAGGCTTTATGGTTTTTCCTATAATGGTGGGCCGGTCTTTAGTCAAAATGCCCGGGACAATTTTTTTGTCCCAGTCCAGCTCTGTATGCAGCTTATCTTCAGTCTGGTGTTACCTACATCTTCCTATTCAGAAGGCAGAATTTCAGAGTTCTGAGTACAATCGAAAGCACCACCACTGCAGTTTTTTGTGTTGGATGTAAAAAACAGGCTAGGATAGAATCAGGCGTGGGATTTCTCTCGTGGAAATGTGCACATTATCTTTTCCTTTCTATTGGTAGGTGGCACAGTGCACTTGTGGCAAGTAAGCAAGCTAGAAGACTGGCAATCTTGCTGGATATCCAGTTACGGAAGCAACACATTAACAAGAGAATTCTGAGAAAAACCAAAGTTACTTTCCCTAGTAACTAGTTACTCTGAAAGTAACGAGTAACTTGAAGTAACTGAGTTACTTTTGATAGAAGTAACTAGTAATATAACTAAGTTACTAATTTAAAGTAACTTACCCAACACTGCTTATCAGAGGGTAACAAGATCAGCATTGCTGACACACTTTGTCTGGGTCTTCCAGGATATGACTGCTGTCCCATGTGCTCACCCTGTCTCAGTTCCATCTACCTTCTTTTGCATTTGCGTCTCTCTCAGAAATGAACCATCTATGTATTTTTGATATCGCAGACATCGTCATATTCCAAATCCCGTGAGCTGCTTTGTGTTGCTTTGATTTGATATGAAATGTTTTGTAATTATAGTTTGCATGGCAATTTATTTCCAAATAAAGGCCAAGGAAAATATTAGAAGACAGCATTGGTTTGGTATGAGATGTTATGCTTGTGCATAAATATCTTTATAAAGTACAACAGTGAAAATATGTTTGCATATTGAGGCTTGTGGTGGTGTGTCCGCAGACACAAAAGATAACCAAAAACTGATTGAAATCTAAAAAAATAGTGATAATAATTTTAGAGAGTATATAATTTCAAGGATTAGTCTAAATCAACAATTAAAAAAAAGGCAAAGGAAGTATACTCTTTAAAGACATTCAACAGACCATGGGTACGAAAAGATATTTTTTATTTAAAAAATTTAGTTTCCTATAATAAGCGCTGTAATTTACACAAATCTGACAAAATCATCAGAATTCATCACTCTTTTTCTAGATACTTTGTTAGTTTTACTTCTAAAGTTATTTACATGCAACAGTCACCAAAACTACAATTTAAGGAAAACATAAAGAACAATTAAAACAAAAAATTAAAATTCAATAATGACTAACTCTGTTCAGTTACAAATAAATAAAACAAACAAACTACGTATATAATTTTCAGTGGAAGACAGCGTTTTCTCCATCTTGAATCTGTCTAAAGATTTTTTTGTCCATTTTGAGCCTGGAACCAGACTTGTGTTAAACACAAATCTTCATCCTGAGAAACAATTTGACATTTAGAATCATAACTTCTTCTGATATTAAGATAAGATAAGATAAGATAAGATAACCTTTATTAGTCCCACACGTGGGAAATTTGTTTTTATTTGTTTTTATTAAGTAATTACTTAAATGAATACTGCAATCATTAGAACAATATGGAATTTTAAAAAGGACGTTCTGTTTGAATGCCATATGTCATTAAGAAAGTACTGACACATTATTTGTGTTTATCAGTGTTGTGTGTAATGTATTACAAACTAATAAACTGTTATAATCACATTATAGTTAGGGATGGGAATTGATAAGAATTTAGCAATTCTGATTCCATTATTGATATCACTTATCAATTTTATTCCTTATCGGCTCCACTTTGAGAGCCAGCACCATCAGTAAGAAGCATATCAAAGACATTACATTTGTGCAAGTTATTCATGCTGTGTGGACTAATGTCTGCGAATGTTGCAGGTATTTCCCCTCTTTGTTGTGATCAGTGTTGCAGTCATTCCTCTAATGAAATAGTGTATTAATGAAATTAATTTATTACATTACATTCGCATTTATCCTGAAATTATCTGATATTAGTGGTCATTTAACAATATAAACCTACGAGCTACAGCCCCCCCACCCCACCCACTCACACACAATACAAGTACTTGTGCTAATAAGGACACACAATTGATCTTTCTCTTAGTTTTTAGGTATGAACCCAAAGCTGACAGCACATAGCAAAGTTGAAAACAAGCACAAACAGACTTGATTCTGTTGAAACATGAACAGGTAGAAATGGAGGCTTCAGCCTGACTGCGAATCACTTCTTTTGTTATATAAAAAGTCTGGCTGTTTTGCTGGGGTCAGCACTCATTTAACTTTAATGTTACTCCGGGATTTTGGCTATCTTAGCACTAGGTAGCGTTGGCATGCTTTCAAAGCACTGAAGTTATGTTATTTGCATAATACAATTGTTTCTGTTCTGGACACAGTTTGCACTTCTGCTCCTGCTCTCATCCTTTTGTGCATTAAAACTAAAAGTAATGTCTATATAAAGGCTGCAGACTTCGCCACTATCTTCTGATCCGGATTCCCAGTAGTTAATTTCCAAGGAACTGAACTGAATTCCAAGGAACTGAACTACTGAGAAGAGTTGGTTCTACTCAATTCCCAAGTATAGTAATGTAATGAATAACTGTAATAAATTCAGTAATCACATGAGTCACATCAGTAATTATCCCCCCTTGCATTTGTGGTATAATGAGCTCACTTTAGAGTATGTGGTGGGAAACGATAAACTGTACAGCAGTCTACAGATTTTAAAGAGACTGGATATTTTTATTTCACAAAAAGACATGCATGTGGTGACAGAGTTGAAACTGTGCCCAGGCCACAACAACAATCCTTTTTTTGTGTGTAGATACTTATGTAACTTTGCAGAAACTTAAGTCTATTTTATCTTATTCTCCTATCCTAAAAGAATTCAAATCTAAATCTACATGGTGCAAAACTGTGTCTCATTGTTCTTGTAACAGTGACAATAAAGATCTATTCTATTCTATTCTATTTGGTCTGTTTTCTAACGCTGTCAGCTTTTTGTTAAAAGTTTTTTTCCCCTTTCCTTTTCTTTATGTTAAAAGTTAATCACCTGGGTTCATTCCCATTAGGATAGAGATTATGTTAATGTGTGGGACTGTAACAGAAGGTTTATATAGTTAACTGCTAGCTATGTGATGTAAAAACATTGTAATGACTAGCTAAAAAAATTATCCATCATTTTGTAATTTTGTACAGTAATTGATGATCTTATAGTAAGTAATTGATAATAATGTGTATTACATTACTCTTTTGAATAGTGACCCACACACAGCTGTTTATGCAATAAAAAAAACAAAAACAAGTGTAGATAAGAAAATGAAGAAGAGAAAGTTTACCTCATTCTGTCTCCTTTGATTATTGTGATCTGGTCTGTTCTGAAAAAATTGAAGTTCTTTTTCTGCATAAACAAAAATGCACTATCATACTGGAGCATTCAGCAGCAACAGTGCCATTAAGAATTTGCCATTTAATGGTTGTAGATAGTTTTGTGGAGGACTGTGTGTGTGTGTGTGTGTTTGAAGGTGAGTCAAACAATTCGAAAAATTAAATTCTAATAATTAAAATATACAGTACCTGTTTTCCGACACAACTGATAAATAAAAATAAAGGAAAAAAATGAAATGAGAATAGAAAATCCTGGTGTAAACATCATCAGCCAGGGCACGAGACTGGAACCACAGGTTCTGTCGTAGACAGCACGAGGAGTGGAGTCAGGTCGAGTATTGGAGTCAGAGTGAAGAGTGGAGTCAGGGCAAGGACTGGAATCAGGGCAAGGACTTGTGTGAGGTGAATCTGCATGAAATAAGTAGTGTATTAGATCTACATTTTTACTACAATCCACTTATGTATAGTGCTTTGTATAGTGTGTTTAGTTTACACAATATAGAAACACTGTGTAGCAATCTAGTTTAGTACTGACTTTAGTTATTGTACGTCTTAAGTGGCAAGCACACTGCTCTGTTTACTTCATGTAAGATGACTTTCAATCACAAGAAAGCCCCACACTAAAGTATATCCTGCTTTATCGTCTTTTCTACTCTAAACGGACTATTATTTACAAAAGTAATACCATAATGCATATTCAAACACTTCAAACCAGCAAATAAAATTATAAACACATTAAGAAACATTTTTTACAGCAAGCCTTACCTTTGCATTCCCATTTGAAAAAAATTCAGGTTTAATAATATTAACATCATTTGCAGTTTATTATTTTCCTTTACGTATTTTACTGGATATTAAACATGAGTGTTTTTTAACTAAGAAGGTGATGCAAAAACAATAGCCAAAAACTTGGTGTGCAGTGTGTACTTAAAAGTTTGTGGAAACTGGACAAGTGCAGGACAAAAGAAGTGGAAGACCTAAAACACTATCAACACCAAATGAACTGCATTTGAAAGTGATTTCCTTAAGAAAATGTTAAAAAACAATCCACCAAGACTTGCAGCTGGAAATGCAGCTGGCCCTTCAGTTGATACATGTATGGTTCACCTAGGCTAGGGGTCGGCAACTTTCAACATCATAAGAGCAATTTTAGCTCTTTCTACCAAAGAACTGGCCAAATTACCCAAGAGTTGCACTGAAAATCAGGGACAAAATAAAAAATAAATAAAAATGAGGGATGGGTAAAGATTTTTGCTTATGTCAGAATTAAATACAGTAGATGCACAGAAGCAATGTCTTTGTTAAACAGACTTCAGCAGGACAATGTCCCCAAACCTACAGTCAAAGTCATTAAGAACTATCTTCAGCCTAAAGAAGAACAAGAAGTACTAGAAGTGACGGTATGGCCCCCACAGAGCCATGATCTCACCATCGAGTGTATGAAAAGACAGAAGGATGTGAGGAAGCCAACATCCACAGGAGATCTGTGGTTAGTTCTCCAACATGTTTGGAACAACCTACCAGCCGAGTTCCTTCAAAAACTGTGTGCAAGTTTACCTAGAAAATTTGATGCTGTTTTAAAGTTGGTCACACCAAATATTGATTTGATTGAGATTTATCTTTCATTTGTTCATTTACTGCATTTTGTGGATTGATGAAAATAAATGATTAACACTTCCATTTCTGAAAGCGTTCTTTGTTTACAGCATTTTTCCTCACCTGCCTAAAAGTTTTTCACAGTACTGTATGCATATATATAACAAACCAACAAAAAAACCCCAATCACACATGAGTACTTACTGATTAAGATTCTTGTTGCGATACTGGCATATCTGTGGTCATATCTGACCTGAACGCTTGTGCCATCTACCCACTGTTCCTTTTCAGTTCCACAGTAATAGAGGCCCTCATCAGAATCAGAAATATTCATGATCAGCAGATCATAGGATCCAGAGGACTGATTCTTTTTAAAGTGGAAGCGTAATAGAGAATTCACTGAAATTGCTCGGTCACTGATTTTTTTCCATGCATCTTCTTTTAGTTTCAGAACAAGAGGAGGCTGATTTTCATGGGTACAATTTCTGTACCACACAATATATTCCTCAGAAAATGCTTCACAGTCACAATTCAGAGTGACGTTCTGTCCTGATGTCACTGTCAAATCCACCACTGATCCAGAAATCCAATGACCTCCTGAAATACAAACACAATAACAAATTTTGCCAGTGTTGAGTACAAGATGTGATGTAGAATTCCAAATAGAGTTGACACATTCATTTAATGTTTTATAATATTAATGTATAATTTAATTAGTTGTACAAAATATTACCTAAAAGAAGGACAAGAATGACATGAAGGCTGTCCATGTTTGATGATTACCTGCAGTTAAAAGACAGTAAGAATGGTGTGACTCTCGAATGTCATCGCCTACACATTACTTTTCCACTAAAGGAAATGCAAGTTGCGATCGGGTGGTGGAGTGGAACCTTCTATTCTGTGGTTACACTGTGTCAGTGCAATGTCATGTGATGGTCTGGATGTAAAAATTAAAGTTCTTTTAACATGACAGACTGCTTTTCAACATGCTTTTCAGTCTTAGCCATTATAGACATGAACAAGAACACTCAGGGATTGCATCTTCTCCCAAAGGACAAGAGGTACACACGAATTTTGATGAGCTATGATTTTTTTTATTACAACATTCTGACATCAGTCTTTTATGGCATCATTCTGATGTCATATGGTATCATATTAAAAAGGTTAAAAGTTTGCTGTACAGTAAAATGACATATTACTTGATATGCATCCTCGAAACTTTATTTAAGGTCAACTTTGACCTTGAGCACTAACAATATAAAGGCCAAGGTGAAATGCTTAGCCAACCTAGATACTCATGTACCCCAAGGTCTAGCATACTGTGAAGTTTGAAGGCGATCCATAAAAACTTTTATTGATTTTTACATCTGGTGTGTTCTTGACCCAATTTGAAAAAACAAACAGACAAACAAACAGAACTGATTATTATTTATTAAGATAAAGACACAGTGTAATATGTCGTGTATTCTAGTTCATCTATGTGACCATCTAAGTTCATTAAATGATGACTATGTGACAATGTAATTTATTTAGAGAACACATGACAGAAACATTTGGTTTTATCAGCTGTAGGTTACCTTCTGTGTGCCACGCAGGGAGAGGGTTGGGGGAGGTTTACCAAGATCTAGTGTGACACTTGCACAAATCTCCACGTTACAAACTATTTTCAGTGTGCTAGCATATCCGCTTCATACTTCAATAAAAATGAACAAATCAAGTTGCTAGATGCATATGAATACAGATGTAAACTTTATCTGACTCGAAACTACTTCTATTACTACTAAAATGTTTCAGTTATTCTTTTTTTAGTTCAATTCAATTCAATTAATTTTTATTTATATAGCGCCAAATCACAACAAAAGTCGCCTCAATGGCCTGTAGAATTACTGCTTTGGCTCAGTCTTACAGCAATGATCGAAAACACTATTTTCCAAAAACAGCATAAAAAGCTATGAGCTGGTAAATTTAGTGGAACATTCAACAACTGAAGAGTAACGTTTTTGTCGTGAGTTGGTCAAACTCACTTAGCATAGAGTTATAAAAATATGACATGTCTATAGTGATGGTGATTTCTGTACTTGAAAGAACAGAGTGCGTCCCTCTTATCAGAAATCTGTTCTGTCTTTTGGTTTTAGAATTAAAAAATAAAGATTGAATAAAGTACGGGGTTCACAAAAACATGTTGCATTCTGTCGTCCGAGTAGACATTTGTTTCTGTGGTTTTCCTGTGAGCCTACTGCTCACTATATCGTCTACAATGGTGGTGGTTTGTGAGCACCTTCAACTTGTGAGAGTTTCCAAAAATATGGGGCATGCGTTAAAGCTGAAGTGGAAATTTAAAGCGTAGCTTAAAAAAAATTACAAGAAAAAAAAAAAAAGAGTCTTGTTTTATATCAAGAATCAACATTGTGCAGATTTCTGCCAACCAAATGGTAAATGGGGGATTCTTTGAAAAATACATATCTTGCATTTTGTCTTGTAGCTGTTAGTAAACAGAATGAAAAGTTTGATCTTTACCTCACTCCTACAGATTCCAGACTCACATTTTGATCTGAATTTTTTTGTTTTGCCTTCATCGTGTAGCAAAGACACATATCAGTCAATTCAGGAACATAACACAGTGTAGAAATATATGAGGTTTCATTTCAGATCTTTTAATAATCTTTAATATGAATTTTGGTTTTAATATGAATTATACACTGGTGCTGAACTGCGTGGTTATTCTCCACCATCATGGTGATAATCAGCCCCTTTTGGTTTGAGATTCCCTTACTTCACCCCTGCCTGCCTGCCCAGCTACCCGTCTTTTGTGCTCATCCATGTCTGGAAACCTTGTTCAGGATTTTTCTGTCCAGAATACCACATTTTGTCACGGCTGCCGAGGCGAGCCGTGTGGATTTAGAAGGAGGACCCAAGATGCAGGCAGTGGATGAGATACCGGTGGTTTTATTTACAGAGGTGTAGTGGCAAACAAACAGTGGGGCATAACAAACAACTAAAGACACCTAAACTGGGAGAACTAAAAATAACAGACCTGGGAGCATATGACAACAGATGATGAATAGCAGAGAGACGCAGACAGGACACCGTGGAACACAGGGTCACAGACTGACACGGAGGAACACAGACAAACCAGCAACAGGCAGGAGAACACACAGGGCTTAAATACACACACCAGTAATCAGGGGATGAGAGACAGGAGGGCAACACAGCTGGGAGGAATCTGGGCTGACGGGACAGGGGAAACGTAAACTGATCACACTCACATACAACGCGGACCTTCACAATAAAACAGGAAACTCAGACACATGGAACCAGACAAGACATTGAACTAAACAGACAGATTCACAAACAGATGGGGTGACACCATAGACAGAGACACAGACTCAAAGGCAGACCAAATATAACACACAGAACTCAAACAATAATAATCATCATCATAAACTAGAAAATGATAACTAAAAGCGCTGGGCCACCGACCCAGGACCATGACACATTTGACTTCATCTGCACACCTTCTTCTCTCTGGCACCTCTGGTAATACTTCTGCTAAGCCCATCCTTAATCTACCTGTTTACTCACCACTTGGCTATAATTTGGAACAGTATTGTCAACTGTCAACTCCCCCCACGCTTGTCCGGCCTGGTAAAACACTAAGGCAGAATCCAGCTTAATTTAATTAATTGATTAATGAATTAATGAATTGATTAATTAATTAATTTTGACAGAACTCCTGAGACCACCCTTAAGTTGAGCCCTGTCGTGTTCCTCATAACCCTGCCCCTTTACACCTGCCTATTCCACAATAAAGTTGGTTTAACTGCTAGCACTGCTCCGAGCATGCTCCTTGACCCTTGCCTGAACTGAGCTATAAACATCAGACAGATGGCCTCACATTTCAATTAATTTTTATTTATATAGCGCCAAATCATAACAAAAGTCACCTCAAGGCCTCATTTCACTTCAAAAGCTCACAAGAATAGAATAGTTTGTTATACAGAGGAGTTCGTTGTCTATTCAGTGCCCAAATCCTGCGGCTGGAAAACAAGTCCAAATCATCACCTCTCTACCACTATGTTTGACAGTTGAGAAGAAGTATTGTTTTTGAAGAGTAACAGCTGGAACGCCTTTATTTTATTTTATTTTTTTATTCCTTTTGGGTTTTGTTTTTGCATTTTTGTTGCAGAGTCTCACCCTTTGGTAAATTTCCTGTGATGTCCACTCCTGGAAGGCTTAAAAAACTAATGTCAGCAGAAAAGAAGAATTTTAATATTAATCAAGTTAGTTCTGGATTATTTTTCAAATTTCAGTGCTTAATAATTTCTCAGTACAGTGTAAAAGACCTTGCTGTGGTTGAAACTGTGCATTTTGTTATCAAGGACAAGGAAGAAGTGTAGAATTTTTTACAATCACATTTATTATTTATACTACTAATTAGAGAGGCTTAAAAAAACAGTAGAAGGAGAATCGCACCACAAATACAATCGCAATTTAATATATTAGCTGCATGAACAGATAACATAATATTTCTGCTTCAGTAAACTTCTGTAAAGGTCTGTAAAACAAATTTCCCACGTGTGGGACTAATAAAGGTTATCTTATCTTATCTTATCTTATTCTTTGGTATACTGTAAACTACTACAACTGATTTGAAAAAACAAAACACTCAAACATCATAAACGACAAACACCACTGTTTGTTGTTTATGATACGTTTCTTTTGTCATCTTTTAGATGATTAAGCAAAAATATATAATTAAACATTTTAACAAAGAAAAAACAAACATCTAATCAAAAAAGCTAAAGCTACTGATTTTGCTATTAAAAATGGCAAAAAAAAATACACAAATGAACAATCTTAGAATTAAAACAAAACAAAACAGGAATACAAATGATACTAATTGTTTACATGTATACACCGATCATCCAAACCACGATCATTCACAGAGAAGATGAAAAATATTAATTATCTTGCATCAACAGCACTGTGTGTTTGGCTTCCTTGCAGTTTACACCAGACATCATCCTCAGTGATTAAAAGCTCTATAGGCTCTAGAATAGCTTTGCATAGGATTGTGCTAATCTCAATCCTTGCAGAAGTTTTTGGTTTAACCAGCATAATTCATTATGCATTTTTAAATGAAACAATGAACAATCTAGAGCCCAGAGGTGTTGATAGCAGAATAAGTACAGAAGTCAGAACTATGCGTTATCTTCTTCTTTTGTCTTTGTGTGGCTTGACGGGTTTCCACTGTAGCATAAAACACATCTTCATCCTGTGAATGAACATCTGTCATTTACAGTCAATAATCAGATGGTCAAATGCATGACATGATTGTCTATAAATCTTTCTAGGGGCATATAAATCTGGTCGCCATTGTGAGTGTTAAGCATCACAATTAAAACAGCCAGCATCTTCTCTCTGATTAAAGAAACATGCCAGATCCAATGGTTCTAAATGTTCTCACCTTATATGTTACCTCAGGCTCATGCACTATTGTTCCAAAGGCATCTCCTATTATCACTATGTTGGTAAGACAAAGCTGTACTTTTCTCTTAACCACCCCAATAGCTTCTCCTACCTCAGTGAATGCTTCACTGAGTGATTGTGCCTTGTCTGTTTTCTGTGTATTATTGTAGGGCTTTTACATTACAATATAAAGCGCTTTGAGGCAACTGTTGTTGTGATTTGGAGCCATTACCTCATAAGACTTTGTTGTTACACTTTCTCTTACCGTACATTACTAAATCTCCATTTGCACTATTTGCCTATTTGCACTACTCTGCCTGGTTTAC